TGTAGCCAGACTGTAGCCGTAGTAATAATAATAAAAAAAGTAATAGTATAATGCAGTGTTAGCAGCTAGACAGTTAGACAGTAGCCTGCAACTTAATGCTTTTGAACTTGAGAAGCAGCCTTCGTTAATGTAAGCTCCTTTCTTCATCAGGCATGTTTGATTTCAAATTAGAAGTATCTCCATTGCATTTCTTGGATTTCATTTTCAGAAATCACGCATGTGCAACAACAGCAAGACTTGTGCAGTGTCTTAGTATTTTCTAACCTGGTAAGATATTAATCATACTTTTGAACCTGAGAATGTTACATTAATACTATTATGATGGGAATAGTTCATTCAACAGGCATGGTTAACCACTGCTCTTACTTCCTTTCTCCTGGATGTCCTTAGTTTGCACTTGGATGACAAAACCCAATACTGATCTTCAGCATCATCTCAGTCAACGTATTTTTCATTTTATTATTGCTTGCATTCTTTAATTGAGTTAATTTCCTGAGTAACTCCATCACACCACCAGCCTCCACCAGATTTCCTAATCATGGATGTTATCACTTGAACTGCAGTTCTGCTGTTTCACTATTTGTTTTGTTGGCAGGAAGGAAAAAAAAAAAACCCAAACCCTTAGAACAGCTGAGTGCCAGTAGTGCTGGCGACTTCTGTTTTATTTATGTTTTGTACTGAGCCATCCTGGATGATAAAGTATGTCTGGGACACAGCTGTGGGCAATGCTCTAAGTGTTATAGTTGGAAAGGTGCCAAAGTTGCATTGCTACCAATTTTTTACCATTAGCCTTCTGGAAAGAGGGATTCAAAGTCTCATTTTATTCCCTTCTTCACCAGTGTCACCTTTACACTAAATTAATGTGAGATCTTTACCAGAGATGGAGCTGACAGGATGAGTTGTTGATCCTACAGCTTTCTTGATGCGGCAGGAGCAGAGGAACAAATCCTATAAAACGCAGAAGCCAGCTTCTCTCAGCACTTGAGCTGTGAGGAGTCAGGAGCATCTTTTGAGATAACTGAATACCCTTGCTTTCAGCTGTGGTGGGATTGCATTAACCTGTGCCGTCCTGACGCTCAACAGAAAAGAGTGAGCTCGATCCTGAGGATATGGCAAAACGCCGCAGTTGTTGCCTGCTCAGCTGTGTGGGCACTGATGTCCAAGGCAGTAATTACAAGATATACCTGCTAATGAATTGGTATACTCCCCTGCTGTGTTCAGAGTCTGCTGTGATCTTTTTTCCTGCACTTACAGAGGACGCTGACCTTGTTAAATACTTAGCAATAAAAACGTGTTTTCCCTTGCCTGTTTCACAGCCTTTCTTCTGGCTCTACAAGTAGAGCTCCTTTATATTAGTGAAGCATGTTTACCCAAGTTTAGTTACAGAGAAAGAAGAAAGTTATGAGGCTATATATGAACATGTTACATATAACGATGTGTTGTATGTGTCTGCATGGATGCGCACACATATGGAGTTCTGATTTCTTAATGGTCACATTAGCAGTAAAAAGAAAATAACTTTTATATTTAAGCAATGGTTAAGATATGGTCTCAATTATTTTTAAGTCACCAGACTTCAAATATTTAATTTTTTCTAGGCCCAACTAATTCCTTCAATTGCAGTTAGGTGGGTTGTAATTAATTTTTGGTGAGGCAAACATACTAATATGAATACCTGCTCTACTGTAATATTTGCTTGAAAATATGTCATTCAGCTTCTAGATACCTTTTTTTGCCCTATCTAAAGTTGCAAATGCCCACCAATATTGTCTTATCTAGCCACAAGGCCCAAACTTACACCTTAAGCTGTATGACACCAGAATATAAGGATGACTGTGCTGGGGCAGGGAAGGGTCCAGCTGCCTCCCGTCCTCACCCTGCCAGTGATCAATAGCTGGTGCCTAAAGAAAAGCATGAGAGCAGGGCAAAGGCGTAGCAAAGCTTCCTGTGAGAGAGTCTCCCAGCCTGCATTGATTTGTGGTCTGGGAACATCTCAAGATAGAAGTGGTCTCTTTAAATTTAATATTTGATCTGATTTGTTACATCTAAAGTATATAGTTATTTTGTATAATTCATGATTTCTATCGGTAAAGGACTGAGACACTTCCACGGGAAATACTCTCTTTTTACTGGAAAAATGTCTTGTCTGCCTTTTCTGATTGAGGACATCTATATCCCTGCTTTTGTGACTTGGAGACTGATCTGATACCACTTAACTGTGTTAATTTAGGAATACCTGTACTGTGCTTTATGACCCACCCAGCAGTGCAGGAATACAGATGGTACAGAAGTTCTATGCCCATGCATAGCAGTGTATTAAGGCAACATGCCAATTTATCAGAGAGATTTGCTTCTGATGAGCATTGGCAAGCTGCACTACATAGGAGCTTTCAAAAATACATCTTTTCCAACCTGAGACCAGGCTGCTACAGTCAGCTTGCAATGATGATCTAGTCCTGTTGTTGTTACTTCTACCTCTAACTCAGCTGATTCTGTAGTTAATGCACAAAAATGTAGCAGTGATTTTCTTTGTGATTATTTTGTGTTACAATTTATGAGCAAAAATGTAAAAGTAATTTTAACTGTGGTCTCCAGAGATAGAAGTCCTTTACAAGCAGTTGAATTAGGTCTTGCTGCTCCCTGCAGATCAAACTACTGCAGCATCAGCCATTTCTACACCTGTAAGTCATTCAGCAGCCGTTCCAGTTGGCAGTCTGATTTTTCATGGTTAACCTGGAAGAGGACAGTAAACTGTGAAGGTCCACTTTTGTCCTTCGTGTTTGAGTTCAAGAGAGGCAGAAGGTCAGAAAACCTCTATCAAGAAATGCAGGGCTGGGCTCTGCTGTCCTGACTCCTGTTGTGGGTATCTCACAAGCTGTTTTACTTGAAAAGGCTTTAGGTGTGGTATGTAACATAAACCCTTATATAAGGTCCAGTAATTAGTGCTAAATAAAGTGAATATATTTGGTTGTTCTGATCTGTGTGACCGTGCTTACTATGTGGACTTTTGGCAAAGAGACTATTTATATATATATATATATATATGTGTATATATATATATATATATATAAAGAAAAAAAAAAGAAAAGCAAAGCAGTATATTGCTAACTTTCAGTAAGAACAGCTTTACACACTGGTTACTGAAATCTTCCCTCTTGCAAGCCCAGAAGTTAATGGGTTTTCCGGATAGCTGTAACCTGTTCATGGGTTCAGGATTTTTTGTGAAGATTTATACTGGTTTTGGCTGGGATAGGGTTCGTTTGTTTCATAGTAGCTGGTATGGGGCTCTGTTTTGGATTTGTGCTGGAAACAGTGTTGATAATACAGGAATGTTTTAATTATTTCTAGGTAGTGCTTAGGCAGAGCCAAGGCCTTTTCTGCTCCTCATCCCACCCCACCAGTGAGGGGGCTGCGGGTGCACAGGGAGTTGGGGGGGGACACAGCCAGGACAGCTGACCCCAACTGACCCCCCAGACCATCTGGTGTCATGCTCAGCATATAAAGCTGGGGGAAGAAGAAGGAAAGGGAGGGGGGACATGCAAGGTGATGGTGTTTGTCTTCCCAAGTCACCGTTACATGTGATGGAGCCCTGCTGTCCTGGGGATGGCTGAGCACCTGCCTGCCCATGGGAGGTGGTGAATTAATTCCTTGCTTTGGTTTGCTTGCATGCACAGCTTTTGCTCTACCTGTTAAACTGTCTTTATCTCAGCCTATGAGGTTGCTCACTTTTACTCTTCTGATTCTCTCCCCCATTCCACTGGCGTGGGGGGAGTGAGTGAGTGTATGTTTGGGGCTTAGTTACTGTCCAGGGTTAAACCACAGCAAGATGTAATGGGATTTTGTGGTATTTCAAGCTGCCACAGGCTTTCTCCTGTGCAGGAGACCTCTAAGGAATAAATATGTCTGTATATATATATTTTTTTTTCTTTACTCTTTTTGCATTTCTAGGCAAAGTTAGAGTATGCTCATGGCTGCTGTGTTGAGTTAAAGTTAGAAAAGCATCTTTGAGCCTGGTTTAAGGACACAACCACCCAGCGTGTATGTATCTGACCTAGAGAGGTCGGATCCTGCCCTTTGCTCGGCCCTTGCCTGCTTTATGCTGCTCTGCCCGATCTCACTTCGCATGTTGTATTGTGCAGGTGCAGGGAGGATGATCCTTCAAGTGTTTTCCCATATGCAGGGATTAGGGATGATTAATGCAATGATGGTGGTGATAATTTGAACTTCTCGGTGCTTCTCTAAGGTTTTTTGTTTCTGGCAGTGTTGCTGCCAGGTGGTCATCTCCATTGCTGTCTTCTCACCTGGGTGTCTGCAGTGAGGCCCCCATGTCCATGTTCAGTGCCAGGGTCTGACCTCTTGGAAACACCACGCATATCTACCAGTGAGAGTGAGCTAGAAAACATGGTGGTGCTGAGCCCCCACCCTCCTAGAAAAGCTCGGGTCATTTACCTTTCTCTGACAATTGCTTTGGAGGCTGAACTTTGGGAACCCATCGCTCTGTGTTGGGCTGACAGTCACTGCTTCCCATCAGCTGGAAAGCCCTAATGTTATTGCCTCCTTAGGAGCTTTGAATACCTTGAGTGAGAGCCATTTTAACAGTGCAAAGTATTAAGACTGAGGTGATGTCTCTGCTTTTGTGAAAGTCCTGTTATTCTGCAGAAATTCCATAATGAATGAAAATATTCCCTATGGAGAAGTGTATTACTTACTTTCTTATTACAATATCAGGCTGAAATAAAAAGCAGCTGGGCTAGCATTCATTTCCTGGTGTAGAAACACTATTAAAGTACTGTAAAGCAAGAATAGCTTTGTACCACAGTTCTTGAATTCAAAGATTGCCCTCCAGAGGTGCCATGCATGATGGATTGTCACAGACTCTTTGTCCTGCCTTGACATTTTATTCTTATCTGATGTTGTCTTGTGTTCTGCTCTGAATCTGCCAAATAACTGACCCTAGAATTTAATGCCACACCTTCTCTTTCCTTTTTCTGAACAGCATCTTTTTCAGCTGAGGCTCTGAAATACTGGAGGACATTGCATCTTCCTCAGGGACCCTGACAAGGGGGAGCTGGAGCCTCTGGGGCGCTCAGAAAGGAATTGTGGTTGGTGGTCGCTTGAGGAACTTACCTTCACACCAATGTTGCTCTGAAACGAGTTGTGTCCAACATTCAGGTTTGGTAAGGTATGTCATTTTCCCCTTGCTCTTGTCTTTTTGCGCTTTTCTGAATATCTACATACGGGGAAAATAGAAAATTAGCAGCCTTCATGTTTATTGCTGTATGCGTACCATGCTCGTACTGCCTCCATAAAAACCCTTTGCTCTTCCTGAATTTGGAGAGCATTCATCAAGAGTGAAGTGTTTTTAAAGTCTTGGGCTTGGGGAGGTACGTGTTTATATCAAGTGCTTTATTGAACAGAATGCTCGCTGGTGGTTGTTTTGCTGTTGGTGATGTATACTTGGTGATAGGCATCTGCATTTTGAAAGTCTGACTTGTATTTTGCTACCGTCTGCAGTTCAGAGGGTCAGAGATGAAAAAACGTAAATGACACTGAAGGAGCCCATTTATAATACAGCCTTGTGCTTTCCTTTGGCTTTTTATATTCTCATTGTTTGCCAAGCACAGAAATACCTCTTTCTTGCATAATCGTATGTCCCCTTTGTTGTGTAGCACTTAAAATTTTTGCATGTGTGGAGGTTCTTATATCCACGCAAACATTGCCATGGTTATGCTGTAACTGTAGCAAGGCAATATGCAACTATCCTTTAACAAGAAAGTCAGGGCCAGGGACTTAAGGAATGTACTGGGGACAAAGCTTGTTCTATAGAAGCATTTAGGGTAATATAACCTCTGATTCTATGGCTTCTTTTATCTAGGCCAAGTTATTTCTGTGAAGGCAAAGTTTGCTGATTAAACAAAACCCCCACATTTAAAGTTTTGGTTCCCAGGTCTCAGTAGAATGGTATTGGCTGATGCTATTGTTTTTCATTTAACACATGGGTATTGACTTCTCTTATATGTCTGAACCAGCAGTATAGTCTTGTTGGGAAAAGTACAGCAGCAATATAACACCTGCACTTGGTGTTAGTGGAGAGGGGGGAAAAAGAATAAAAAGGTCAAGACTTTCTTAAAAGTCTCTAAAAAAACATGAGATATCCTGGTGAGTGTGCATTCATTCTCCTGCTTTTGATCTGGTTGCACCAATAGTGTTTCCTCTGGAAACTGTAGGCTCAAACTCTCACGCTTCAGCAGAACTCTGCTGGTCTGGACACTGCCTGTCTCCAGCGACTGCAGAAAAAAGTTGGTGGGAATAGCTTAAATTAGGCGCTTAACTGTTAAATGCTGAGGGTTGAGAAAGATCAGTTCTAACCACAGCATATGCTGTTAATTTGTACACGTATTTCAAGAAAACAGCACTGCTGTTAGGGAGGAGAGGTTCCCGTCATTAAAACCACTGCAGGGCTTGCTCTGTTTGTCTGTCTGCTCCAGTGGCACCTGGTTTCTGGAAGTGGAGGTTGTAAAACATCGCTCATGCTTTTGTTACCATCTTCACTTTTGTTTATTTCCAAGCTGCTGCTCTTGTGACTGTAATACCTGAAGGGAAAGACTGTGAGAGAGGTATTTCATAATCGAGAGGGCTTCTTGACATTTGCAGAGAAGTATTTTGCACTATTATAATGTAGAAATCACAGCATTTTTTTTTTTATTCCCTGTTTCTTTGTGAGATTTGTAGGTGAAAGCACGTAAATCTTCCTTGCAGTGAGCATGTGTTTTGCTGGTTATACAGGGTGCCCCAGGGCGTGTGAAGATCCGCACAGAGTGGTTGGGTGCGGGTGTGACTGGGGTGCTGACCCTGCCTCTCACAGGGTGGTGCTGAGATGAGCTCCCCATCTCCTTCCCACCTGAGTCAGCCCAACTCAGTCTAAGATTCATGTCTCAGGCTGCAGCATGAATAGTACTCCAGCGCAGAGGTTTGCAGAACCTCACAGTTTCAGAGGACGAAGAGCATTTGCCAATTGGTTTATGCAAAACTATTATTTAGGCATTAGAACCTAGGTTTGTTTTTTTTTTTTTTTTTTTCATTTTACTTTGTGACCATCAGATCTAAAAACTTGGTTCTTAATAAGGAAATCTTGCATTGATGGAAACTTGATCTTTAGGAAGAACATTGCAGATTGAGAAGATTGTGCTAAAGTTTAAAGAGTTGGCAACACTGCTCTCGTTCATTCAAGAAGCTGAGACCCTTTTTATCTTTTCATCTTGAGGGCTCATGCAAACTAATCAGAATAATTGACTACCATCAATCAACTTTATATATCCCCATGACACCCTTGTAAGACCAAAGTGCTACTTATCCCCATTTTAGAGATGGTGAGTAAGGAACCGAGTCACTTCTAGGTCACTTTTAAGCAGTAAACACCTGTCTCTGATTTGCGTGCAATCACAAGTGCAAAATGTTTATCTGATACCCGCAGATGGAGATATGAAGATAGCCTTGGCTGAGCAGCTGAGTCTATAGGGCAAAGCACAAGATTTGTATGTGGATCTGTTTGAGGTCACTGATCCAATCTAAGCCAGTTTCTTCCATGTGTCCTGCTCTCCCAAGTAGAGGGGTTTTTAATTAAGCGATTACAGCAACAACAAATGACATCAGGACCCACATTTGTTTCATATCTCTGCAGGAAATGGCAACATATGTCCAAATAACGTTGGCTGAACTCATTCATCTTTTCAGCAGTATGTTGTTTGCTTGTGTGAGACAAGCAGATTCCCTTTTAGCAGCATTTATGCAATTGTGGTGACGGTAATCTTATTATGTAAGGAGTCATTTTAAATGGATCTGTAGATAACATGCAGAATAATATTTTTTCTTAAATTGCTCATTTTTTAGATTATTAGAATCTGGTTAGTAAAATGATCTGTTCTGTTGAAAAAGCACATTTAATAAATATGTAAAACTTTAAGTAGCCATTAAACATAGTTAATAAATTTCATCTTGCAAGTAGAATTGGAAAAAACCTTGTTCATTTAATGTGTTTTATGGATCTCGTAGCAATTAATTGTCTTCATTACATGGACATAAATCCTCAATGTAATTCACCTTTTTAAGATTAATTGCTTTGGAACTTTTCCCTTTGCATTGTTTAGGCTGTAATATTATTTCTCTTATTTAAAAGTTGACTCTCAACATCATGTTTTTTACCATTCCCAAATTTTCTGTAAATCAGTTCAGGTTAACAAAATCGCTTTGTGTTACGGGACAGTGCAGAGTGACGTTGCAACTGTGGTGGTCTGGTATAAATAAAGCAGAGAGCTTGTGTATTCAAGCCCTGTTTGACCTATAGCAGAGAAGTAGGCAGGTCCGTTTCTCACTCCCTATATTATGTGGTTTGATAAATATTTATTATTTCTCTCTTCAGATCTTTCTTGCTTCTTATGTGATGTCATTTATTAAACCAGAAACACTGATTTTATGTGCTTGTGGGTTTGGATGTCAAAAGAAGGCCTTAATGCAACTTTCCAATGACTCGATGAGGGGCGCACGTCTACTCGCTGTGTCTGAAAACATGTCAGTAAAACTGTCCTACAATTTTGAGAGTTCCGTTGAAGCGTCATGGGATGTCTGCCTGAATTCCCAAAGTTAAATTCAGAGGTTTATTTTGAATAAAGTCTTCATTATTCTTGACTGAACTGTGCACAACAAATAGGAAAACAGGACAGCATGCAGGATCACTTTTTACATATGTTTTTTGTCAGTGAGCACGCTGAGCTTGTTTGTATGAGTAACGTTTATGCAAATGTTCTTTAGTGTTTCTCTGAACCGTTTTGCCAGGGTGAGGAAATAAAATGGCTATTATGTTTGCATGTTTTGTTGCAAGATCAGCAGACTGACTGTTAACGTATCAATTCCCTTGATGACACCACTTCTGCAACCCTGTTCACTCAGCTTCTCCTGACAGGGCTTTTATTGAATCCATCAACCTGACACATATCAAAGCACAATTTCTGATAACAAATATCTTGGTGTAAAATGAATTAAAAAGCTGCTATCAGCAGCAGAACTGAGTTGAATTTCTGAAGTAAAATAAGAAACTCCAAGACTAACATGAGATTCCTAAGATACCGATCACAGGACAGTAATATAATAGTCTACCTGTACTCTTCAAGTGTCTTGAAGTACTGAGAAGTCAATGGGTCTGTCCAAAGTCATACAAATGGGCTTGTTCCTGGGCTGTCAGCCTATGGCTCTGCCTTCTGGACTCTGATGTTTGTAGTGTTGCTTTATAGAGCATGAGGAAGGTAGTGGCTTGTTTTCTTCTGGAGACCTACATCCTCCTTGTAATTACTTTGCACTCTCATCTTTGAGAAATTTGGAGACTGAGGAGTGGAAAATGTTAACTCTGAATGGAGTACACCTTCTTTTTGTCAGAAGACAAAGCAGTTTGGAGCCCCTTGTCCTTTGCAGAGCTGCTGCTTGGCAGCCCATGAGCCACGTCTTGGGTAGAGTCTAACTTGGGTGGAAAAGGGTCTATGTTTCTTGGGGCTGCAGATGTTTTGAAATTACCTGACTCAAAACCTTGTTCTTAAAGCACGTTTCTGTATCGGCTTACAGCCTTCTACTTGTCTCACTCTCTCCCTCCTGCTCTTTTATCCCCTATATTTTTGCATCTCTTACATGATAAGCAGCTTCAAGCAGGGCTGCCCTTGCAATGATACTGCTCTCACTGCACCCAGGCTCACTCACCTCTTATTTTTGGCTAGCACACACTATAAAGTATTACCTAATAATAATCATGCTTTTTGCTCTGTGGCATGTCTGCTCTTTGGATAAGTATTCACTGGCAGTTTGCAGCCTAGCAGAGAGGAAGAGGGCGGCCAACAGTTGATGTGGAAAATTAATTATGAACTACCATCCTCCTGCCACGTAGTTAAGGCAGTTTTGCTTTCCAAGCTTTACATCCAGCCTCACAGAAAAAAAAAAAAAAAAAAAAGGAGAATACTGCATTTCTTTCCTCGAATAGTGGGAAAGTTGCCAGAACAAAGCTTATCAGAGAATGTCGCACGTGGGACTGATCACTCGGGATGCTCTAGAGCCTTTACTGCTCTGTCTGCAGCTCTGACACCACCCAGATAGTAATTTTTACCTTTCACTGGACACATGCTAGCTTAATTGTGCATCCTA